AAGTGATCGTGACTGCCTGAGTCCTCAGTATTGTCATTTGTTGACCTCCTGATGTGCGGGAGATACCCATTGGGATATTGCACGTTGTTGATAGATGAGGGTGAACCATTGTGGTTTTGACTTTTCTCAATCTTTTGATGGATAACCATTGTCGTATCCTTGGATGCACACTCTTGATGAGTTCTGAATGCTTGATCAGATTAGCTGAACACTACCCGCCCCAGGGTTGAAATGAGGGTTTTTTCTGAACAGAAAGGAAACTCCTACTTCGAAGGCTCAGAGGGGTTGACGAGGGTCTATCTCCCTTATATCTCCGGTGTTTGGGGATTGAAACAAGGCCTGTACATCGTCAGCAGGGTCCTACTCAAAAGCATACCAATCAGAGATTTTTGCATTTTCAGATTATCGTCATCCTCCTTTGAATCTTTACCTAAGCATAAGACTAGGAAATCTGGCATCAATATGCAAGTAAAACATTTAAAGAGTGATAACGAATGGATGAGTAAAATGAAAGGAATACTTCAAGACAAGCATATTTATTGCATTAAGATTTTCGTTCAAAAATAGACAAGTTTCTATATACAAGCAATGTTTAAACAAACAAGCAAGAATGCAAATGAAAATGCAGTCAAAGAAACCAATGATTGCCATTGTTGAGGAGACTTGACTCCGTATGGACTTGCTGATTCTGACAACTTTCTGTAGTCTTGATGCTCGAGTGTGCGAGAGAATCCCCTTTCAGATTTGATGTGAACACAGTAGTCTCTGGATCGAGCCTGTCTTGGACATTGTCTTTGGATGACATACCTTCTTCAACCGATTGGCCAGGTGCCCCAGTATAATATGTATCACCAAGAACATCATAGACATCATCATCAGAGTTTCCATGACCTGGCTTATCTAACTCTTTAATCCATTATCTTCCTGCCTGAAGAAGTTTCTGACTATGAGCCAAAGCTTGCATGTACCACTCAGAGTTATTCCATAGCTGGTCCCTGAACACGTGCGGTGAGAAACCAAGTTGAGCCTTTGAAGAGAACCCCATGTCTGAATAAGAATCCCCAATCTTCGGGTACCTGTAATGAATGCATGAATATACATGGAGTGTATGAATGAATGCCATGTCATGTTTTGTCATTTCCAAGGAATTTGCGTGCTTTGATTTTGTTTTTGCGCAAGTAAGGGATGGAAGAATTTTGGCACAAGACTTGCAAATATGATTCCTTGAAAATAACAGAACATGTATGTTAAGCATGCAGTTAGCCATGTTATGTATGCAAAGGCATGAGATCAAAGAGGATCATGGTTCCATCATTCCTGAATAAGGTTGCTGCACTGCTCTAGATCATGTGAGTATCATCAGATCAGAGGTCTGACATAACTTCTGCATATATAAGAACCAAGTGCCATGTGGGTCTCCCATTGTACGGGGTCGAGGCTTTTAGAACATTGGATATTGTTGAGAATTTCTGAACATGCTGGGAATACCAAGATTGAAGGATTGAATGAACCTCCAGGTAAACAAGTCAGGATCTCAGAAAATAAATCTGAGAACCACATGGTCACCAACAGGATACAACATCTGCATAAAGTCTTAACAGAAATCCAGAGTATAGCCACCAAAACCAATAGCCACTGTTTGAGCATAGTCACCATTTGTACCTGAATAACCATCTGAACACAGTCACCATCTGTACCTGTGATAGAAATTCCCTCCCCACTCACGGGTGAAAACTAGGTCAGGGTAAGATAATGGTAACTCGAAAATCATGGGTTCGCCTGAAAGTGCTATGGGCTTGCCCACAGACGTGGGTGCCGATAGTAATTCATTTGAACCTCATCCGAGCGTGGTATATGACATGACTGCACTAATCGGACCATGTCCTATAGCCGTCATGCCCCCACTCTATTCCTAGGTGTCCTAGTGCACTCTGGCCTGGGTACTGGGCCTTTTACCTCAGAAGTGACATCCCCACCCAACATAGAGAACAGAGTCCAGCATAATAGATAACAAATATGGAAAGCCATAAAATGCAATGCAAACTTATGCTTAGATAAACATGTACAAATGAGTAAACTGAAAGCATAAAAATAAACACCCTAAGGAAAGAAAACAAGAGCTAGGAGCGACTCTGGGATGGACCAGCACTTGGTCGACCTATTCCCCAGTGAAGTCGCCAGCTGAAACAACCGGCTGAAAATCATCAAACAATGAAGTCGCCATCGAACGTCTTTTATCCCACATGTAGGGGAAAGGTAAACATCGAGAAAACCTAATGAATGAGAAGTCACGGTCTTGCGACCGAGAGATCGGGTAAGGGAGTCTGTTACGCGAGGGGAAGGTATTAGCACCCCACACGCCCGTAGTACTCTACGGTATCCACTCTTGTTATCTATCTTATGGGTGTGTTTAATCTATGCTTACTGTCTACTATACTACTGGAAGGAGAATGCATGCAAAAGAAAGGAGAGAAGAATGTAGGGAAAATAAAATTGTGCTCGCTTGGGCCCTACCCCAATGCCTACGTATCCTTTTAGAGGAATCAGAGCTACCGTAGTTTGGCTCACATTTTTTGTTTGTTTTGTGTTTTTTATGGACGAAGTTAATTCCGCCTTCTGCCGCAGCTCGACCTTTGGAGGCTTATGCGTTGGCACAGAAGTAAATTAATCATGTCCTTACCTGAAAGGGTTTAAAAGAAATGGTGCTCGAGCGCACAAAAGATTTGAATTTGTTCTGTATTTTGTTATAGATGTTTTTTATGGACGAAGTTAATCCCGCCTTCTACCGCAGCTCGACCTTTGGAGACTTATGCGTTGGCACAGAAGTAAATTAATCGTGTCCTTACCTGAAAAGGTTTTTTCTAATGAAAGGTGCTCGAGCGCACAAAAGATTTGATCTTGTATTGTATTTTTGTTGTAGATGGTGACTGATTGACCTCAAGAGAGAGGTATTAGCCATTTTTCTACTTAGTCATGAAAGGGGTCTTTGAGAATTGAACCACACCTATGCTTGAGATGAAGAACAATAAGATCGAGAAGAGACCCGCTTATCATTTCTCGTACTAAGCAAAAGCATGATTCTCATCAATAGTTTTAAAGTGTTTTTGAATTTTTGAAAGAAAGGAAGTTTTTGTTTTAGGTGCGAATGTAAAAGGGGAAGAAAAGTTAAAGGGGAATTAGCCTATTTCTAAACCTAATGTTAGTAGCCATAAGATTTAGGTTAAAGGGGAAATTTCTACCTGATGTTATTATGCATTGGATTGCGATAAGGTACGAAAATGAAGAATAAAATAGATTTGCGACGATACCGAACGGAGAAGGTCCGTTGCCTCTTCAAAATTGTGCAAGCGGTAAGAAAATTCTGTCAAAGTTCCCTTGGGCAAGTGATTGAAGAATTCACCCCGAGCATTCCACATTGCAGGAGTTATGTCGACGCTACAAAAAGTCTCGATTAAAAAAATCAATAAAATGATTATCGAAATATGAAAAATAAAATAGAAAAAATTCTAATCGAAATTCTAAACAGAAATTCTATTCTAAAATATTCTATTATTTTTATTGTTAATTGAGAGGAAAAAATTAAACTAAAAGAGAAAAATTAAAATGATAAAAAAGGAAAAATCAGAAGAGTTAGGGGGTATGAAGTCTAAAAATATGAGTGCTGAAGTAATTTGCCCAAAAAGATTTTTAACATTTTCTTTATTTATTATTTACTTAATTATAATTGTTATTAATTTGAATTAGGTAAATAAAACATTAAGACAATTAAATTTATAAAAAAAAAGAAAAAAACGTATGGAATTGGGAAAGGGAATAGGGTTTGAGAAAAATGTCTTCTTCTTCTCTCGCGAACGGAACGGCGGCGGCGCCTCCGCCTTCCTCACCGAGAATCGCCGGTGTTAAGCTCCGTTTCAGCTTCCGCCGCGATCGGTTTCCTCGCTTTACTCCGTCTCACTCTCTCTTGCGACATCACTCAACCTCTCCGTCCGGTTGCGATTTCTTCTCCGATCCAGTTTTTCCGATGATCTCCGCCGTAAACCCCCTCGTGACCGTCCTCAACTTCCTTTCTTCTCAATCTGTGGCGTCTAACATATCGCATCTTTTTCTTCAGACTCAAACGGCGGCGAAGGAATAGAAAACCAGAGATACTGATGTAGACTTCAGGTAAAAAATTTTGCTCTTTCGTTTCCTTGCGATACCGTCTTCTGCTTTTCGAATGCTCGCCCTTCTTGATGTCAATGTTGTTGTGAAGTTGCAGCGATGAAGCAATAATGGTGACTATATGAATATGGCTGCAGATTATTGATGAAGAAGGGAGATGGGTTTTCAGAGAAATCTTCAGATGAATATCAACGGGATATTGCAGAGAAACATAGATAGAGTTGAAGTTGTTGATGGAGGTTGAAGCAGAAGGTTATGGTGATGGTGATGGTGCGGTTTTAGAGAGAGTGCAGAGAGAAATTCTGATTTTCTGCAGAGTTGTGATTATGGTGATTCTTCTGGAAAATGATTGAAGCCTTTATGTTGCAGAAGATTGAAGCGAGCTTTTTATGGTGAATGAAGGTTGAAGAGAGAATGAAGAGTGAGGTTTCTGGTTTTTCTTGTGTGATTTAGAATGTGAAGATTGAATGATTTTCAAGGTGAGTTTCTTTTCTGTGTTGAATATAATCTATCCTGTCCCTCGTGAATCTCAATTATGTTATATAGATTGTTGGATCTGTGAATGTTAGTTAGAAGGTGATTGAATCTTGACCATAGATTGAGGATTTCTGTTAGAGAAATCAAGGGTTGGATTTTGGAGTTTGAGAGTTAGTTGGACTTGGTTAAAACTGTTATTTTGTAAAACAGAAATTCTGTTAAATTGTTAGTATGAGATGAGGAAGTTAGTTATTGACAGTTAGAAATGATTGGTTTAAAACCTGTTAGAGATTAGAGGGTTAGTTGAGGGCAGAAAATTGGTTACTGAATATGGTCTTGGATATTTGTTAGTTATGCTATAACTATTCTGTTTTGCAGTTAGAAGTGGTTGTTGTGCTGATAGTTTGAGAAGGTAACAGTGTGCTTTCAGTGATATAATCAACTTCAACAGCTTCTTGTCCATCATTATTTGTCTGTCCAGGATTGTCTACAGGACAGGTATCCTTGATGGAAACACTGTTACCCTTGGAAAGAAGATCTGGCACATCCTTTGGAGAGGTACTGGTGATTAAAATAGAAGAGGACTGGCCTGATTCTGGATAAAATGATTCCTGAATGGTAGAGTTACCAGTTCCATCTGCAGAACTATCCTTCAATACGCAGAAATTATCTTCTATTTGCAATATGCCATTCTTCAATTCGCTCCCTGGATCCAACAAGGCAGGCTGACATAGTGAATCAACTATGGGTGAATTCCTCAAGTTGTTATGAAAATCAGGTGAGGGTGATGATTTTACATGTGAATCATCAGTGATTTCTTTAACAACAGTGGCTCTTATCTTTTCTTCACAGGCACTGTCACAATCCACACCATCTTTTTGATTGTGAAGCTTATCACTTGTGCTTTCTAGTTTTGTGTCTATAAGTAAAGCACCTGATGGCACTTCTTCCACGCCCAATGAAGAAGATATCTGCCAGCAATTGGCTTCCATCCCATTTTCATTTTCATTTTCATTTTCATTTGGCTTCCACGTCCAACAAAGAATCATCGGGTTTTTGTTGCTATTTTCAGGTTCATAGCGGTTTGGATTGGGCATGTGATGAAAAGGTATATTGAAGATGGTTTTAACAGCAAGTTTGGCCATAGATGATGCGAATAAAACATGGTGAAGAAATTCAAGACATAAGGGCATCAAGCATGGAGATTACTTTGCGATGTTATGGAAGCTTGAAGTTTGGAACATGGAGAATGATTGAAAATTAGGATAGGCTTTGGTAAAAAATGTATAGATGTTATGTATAATTGTAAATGGAATTTGGACTTGTATGTATTTGAATAATTGTAATGTATGTTGACTTTATTTCCACATAATGAAGTGGCCTTTGTATGAATTCAAATAAATGGTATGAATCCAAAATATTTGCAAGGTATCCAAAAGAGACATGAATCTTGAATGAATCCAAGAGAGGATATTTGGACAATATTTTGATGATTGGATGAATTTAATACATGCTTTTTCATGTTTGTGGTTTGAATTCCAAGAAAAGCCACGCGAATATTTAAGAACTTTGATTTTCTCCAAATCCACTTCAAATATTCCAAATCCACTTCAAATATTGATGAATGAATTCTAATCAAACCGCAGCTTCAGTGAACCCCTAGTTCAATTCAATTTTCCGATCTAAACCAAATTTGCGTGTCAAGCAATAAGCATTTGAAGCAATGACACCTTGATCATAATCAACATCTTGTACCATGTCCCGACTATGTGAGCACTAGAACAACGACATCTTGGACTCCTTCTCAATAGATGATAATGACTATGCCCTGAGGAATTCTTTGCAGATGAATATGAAAGATGAGACATGCGAATACCTTGATATGGAATGAACCTCAGGTAGAATGCTGACAAGCTCAAATATGAAAATGTATAAACCCTGATTTTTAGCTCTGTCTCATAAAACCTTGCAACTTGACATTGAGAAGAAAAGAATAGCATCGTAGCTTGATGATGATGAGGTCCATGAAATGAAAACCTAGCTTCAATCAGCCGAAACAAGCTTGTGCGAAGATGGGAGCCTTAAAGCCATACACCAACCCTTATTCCTTGAAATCCATGATCTTATGCCAATTTATTGATTAATGATGCATGATGTGTTAGATGACCTAATGTGAGAAAAATGCAAAAATGCGTAAGCCAGATAGGGAGTAAAAGGGTAGGACAAATTTGGGGTATTACAAAAGCGATACAAGAAATGTCGTCCCCTCGTACTGAGAAAGAAGTTAGAGGATTCTTGGGACGTCTGAATTACATAGCCAGGTTTATTTCTCACCTGACAGCTACTTGTGAACCAATCTTCAAACTCCTGAAGAAAGATCAAGTAGTCAGATGGAACGACAAATGCCAAGTTGCTTTTGACAAAATCAAGGAATACATGCAAGAACCTCCTGTGTTGTTGCCACCTGTCGAAGGAAGGCCATTGATCTTATATCTAACTATTTTAGAAAACTCAATGGGGTGTGTGCTGGGGCAGCATGACGAGTCTGGCCGAAAAGAGCATGCTATTTATTACCTGAGCAAAAAATTTACCGACTGTGAAACAAGATATCACTGCTCGAGAAAACTTGTTGCGCTCTGGCATGGGCTGCTCACCGGCTAAGATAGTATATGTTGACCCACACTACTTTGTTGATATCTAAAATAGATCTGATAAAGTACATCTTTGAGAAGCCTGCTCTTTCTGGGAGAATAGCAAGATGCCAGATGATCCTGACAGAATACGACATACAGTATACTACCCAGAAAGCTATAAAGGGCAGTGTATTGGCTGATCATCTTGCTCACCAGGCTGTAGAAGACTATCAGTCCATGAAGTTTGAATTCCCGGATGAAGACATCATGACGTTAGACAACTGCGAAGAGATCAGGCCATATGACAGACCTGAACAAGGATCCCGATGGACCCTGTTCTTTGATGGGGCATCCAACGCACTTGGCAATGGTATCGGCGCCATACTCATATCTCCAGAAGGATGTCATACTCCCTTTACTGCCAGACTTTGCTTCAACTGTACAAACAACATGGCAGAATACGAAGCGTGCATCTTTGGTCTCAAGGCTGCCTTAAACTTGGGGATCAAACACTTAGATGTATTTGGAGATTCAACCTTGGTCATCAGTCAAGTCAAAGGGGAATGGGATACCAAGCACCCCAATCTTATCCCTTATAAAGAACGTGTGTTGACATTGTTGCCGCATTTCGAGAAGATTACCTTCGAGCATTTCCCGCGAGAAGAAAATCAGCTAGAAGACGCATTAGCTACAATGTCATCTATGTTTAAACTTAATTGGGATAACGAGGCTCCTCAAATCACCATTGAGCGGATGAATGAACCAGCCCACTGTCACGAGATTAATACCAAAGAAGTAGTGGACCAGCCTTGGTTTCATGAAGTCAAAAGGTATCTCGAGTCTCAGGAATATCCAGAAGGAGCTTCGGTGAATGACAAGAAATTCCTGAGAAGGTTCTCGGCTAAATTCTTCCTTAGTAACGGCATTCTGTACAAACGCAGTCATGACTATGTATTGCTTCGGTGCATAGACAAGGCTGAGGCTGAAAGGATCATGGGTGAGCTACACGAAGGCACTTTTGGTACACATTCCAGTGGCCATACGATGGCAAAGAAAATCCTACAGGCAGGCTATTATTGGTCTACCATGGAAGCAGATTGCTATCATCACTCTCGGACTTGCCATAAGTGCCAAATCTATGTCGACAAAGTGCATGTACCTCTGGTTCCTCTGAATGTCTTGACGGCTCCTTGGCCATTTGCTATGTGGGGAATCGATATGATCGGGGAAATCAAGCCAACAGCCTCCAATGGACACCGCTTTATCTTAGTGGCCATCGACTATTTTAGCAAGTGGGTTGAGGCAGCTTCCTTTGCTTCCGTTACTAAGAATGTGGTCGCCCGGTTTATTAAGAAGAACCTCATCTGTCGGTACGGTATCCCAGAGAGAATCCTCACTGATAATGGTACAAATCTGAATAATACTATGATCACCGCCTTGTGTGAGCAATTCAAGATTCAACATCACAATTCTTCCCCTTACCGGCCAAAGATGAATGGTGTTGTAGAAGCTGCTAACAAAAACATTAAGAAGATTATACATAAAATGACAGTCACATACAAAGACTGGCATGAGATGCTACCGTTCGCTCTCCACGGGTATTGTACCACAACTCACACATCAACTGGGGCAACACCTTATTCTCTCGTATACGGCATGGAAGCTGTCTTGCCTATTGAGGTTCAGATCCCCTCTCTGAGAATCATGAAGGATGCTGGTTTGAATGAAGAAGATTGGATTCAGACTCAATTTGACCAACTAAACTTGATTGATGAGAAGAGGCTTACAGCTATCTGTCATGGTCAGATGTACCAATAACGCATGATCAAAGCTTTTAATAAAAAGGTCAAACGTCAGGTATATCGAGTCGGTGACTTGGTAATCAAGCGTATCATTTTTCCACAAGGTGATCCCAGGGGCAAATGGACCCCTACATATGAAGGGCCATTTGTAATCAAAAGCATTTTCTCTGGTGGAGCAATGATATTGACTACTATGGATGGCGACAACCTCCCGCACCCTGTAAATACAGACATAGTTAAAAGATACTACGCATGATCAAAGACCCGCTAGGTCGACTGGCCTAGGCAAAAATAAGGGCTTCCCGGCGAACCAAAAGGGTTCGGGAAAAAATAAGGGATGAAAATATAAAAAAAATCTGTAAACCCGGCAAGTCGAAAACCCGAAAGGGCGGCTTGGGCAAAAAAGGGTATCCCGATGGACTGAAAACCCGAAAGGGCGGTCCAGGCAAAAGTTAGGGATTAAGGCGTATGACTATGTCCCACTGGATCATCTGGAAAACAATCTTCAGCGGCAACCAATCAACTCAATTGGCTCTAAATCAATCCAATCGACTTCGCCGAGGCGATCAGCAAACAAGACGTTCAGAGACATGAAGGCTATAGTAGAACGGGAACCCCATGAGATTATTTCACATAGCTATCTTTTCTTTGTATCAATTTTCATTTTTTTTACGATGACATTCTCTTGCCAGAATGCTTTGTCTCATTGTACAAAAAAAACACTTGTTCAAGTTAATACAAAGATATCCCTTTTGAAAGTACAAAACCATCTGTTTTTCTTTATTTTATTTACAAAAACGTCCAATGATTTATTTTTGAACATATGCATTTGAATGTGATCACTGTTATAAATAAATAAAAAAACGGAAAGACAATTACTAATGACTTTAAGAAATAGAATAACATCTGTAAGCCATTCCATAAAATCCCCCGCAGGTACTTTCTCTAGCCAGAGCAAAAATTTCCAACCACTGGTCCAAAGTGTCTCCAGCAGGTTGCCCAACTTCTCAGATTTCCCCAGCAGAATATCACAAGCAATGTATGGCTTTTCCCTTCTGCCACAGAGCATTTACCAGGAAATTCACCCATCAGTACTTCAGAGGGGGTTTATTTTCCCCGCTTCCAGCACGCTACGGCACAAAAAATCTTTACTTTTCATACATACGTCATAACATTGGAAACTTAAGTGAATATGGTGCAATCTCATTTATTTTGAGAGGCAAACATCACACCATGCATCACATACATCATAGCATTGCATACAATTAACTCTTCGTCTTTTTACAGGAAAGAGACGTTTGACAGTTATTATTAACAAACTTCCGACAGACACAAATCTTTAACAAGCCAAATACAGACCAGTTTCCGAGAAAAGCCAGATCTTCACTGGTTCAGATAAATCTCTCAACGGTTTATTCTGATTCATCTCTAGATTTTTACTGGTTCAGATAAATCTCTCAACGGTTTATTCTGATTCATTTCCAGATTTTTACTGGTCTAGATAAACTATCAACGGTTTATTCTGATTTGTCTCCAGATTTCACTGGTTCAGATAAATCTCTCAACGGTTTATTCTGATTCGTCTCCAGATTTCATTGGTTCAGATAAATCTCTCAACGGTTTATTCTGATTCATCTCCAGATTTTTGTTGTTTTAGATAAATCTCTCAAAGGTTTATTCTGATTCGTCTCCATATTTTTACTGGTTCAG